GGATCATCGGCGGTTAACGGTACTTCCGGTAATCTCTAATGTCGTTGGAAGGAATCTGCCGATGCGTGAGTGAGAGGTGTCGCCCATCGGATTTTTGGATGGCATTCAACCATCTGGATTACCTCATTCTAATTCAGTGGCTTCAACATCATGGAATGGGCTAACTCATTTTGAATTGGATAGGCAAGAAGATCGTTCGATGTTATCTGATGGTGAGGGTACGCAACAACCCATCCGACATGATCAAAGTCCAGTGCGGCGTACAGCAACCCTCAATGTTTAAACTTTGCGTTTCTCTGGCTGTAACAATTAATGTTGTAAAGATGCCCAGCAGCTTTTCTCTTATGCACCGAGAATCTAAAGAGGTGCTTCCAGTCACTGCAATGAAAGAGTACGCAGCATTGCAAAGCGAATGGGATGACACTTGCACATATTGCACCGAGAACACGCTCTAGTTCAACGCCACAATTGCAAAGTTTTAGATATAGACCAGCTGAGTACCCACGACGACCGGCTACCACCAAATTTCCGCATCTTGCTCCCCTTGAGTGCGATCTCGGCATGCTTCTGCTATATGATCTTGGTTACTTGAAGCAAACATAATGTGCGTACAACATAGCTACTCAGCTCTTCGGCCTCCTGCGTAGGAAGATTGAAAATGTTGACGTTTCAATCATTCCGCAAATGCTTGGTGCGTATGTGAGAACGCATGTGGAATGCGTCATCCAAGCGTGATAACTCAAAAAAGTCACAACAAGAAGAACAACAAACAACAAATGCTTGTACCTGCTTTCCTACTAACAACTGTGGACTTTATTGGCGTCTACGAAAGGATCTGAAATTGGACAGGAGATCCTAGAAAGCCATAACAATATTTGACAACATATGTTAGAACTGCTAAAACACATATCTGAGAGGCCACCAAGTTATGTTGACGGCAATATCCAGCCGAGTGGAAAGGCGTAAGAATCTGTTCTCTTTCTAATTGTCACAGCCATGGAACTCTCTCCCAGCGCACATAATTAATTCCCCCACATTACCACTAATCAAAAGACGAATGGATGACATACAGGTACAATCACATTATGGGATGTAGCCCGATACCAACATTTGACTGCATTTGCACAGACGAAGTACTGCACGGTATCAGACACCCCTTGAACCACACACAGGAATACTTACACATGTCCTACTGCGGACCTTTTGGTGGGTCCCGAGAAATGCGCCTTATTTTACACATATTGTGTGGTTATCATTTACTTTTCACCCTAAATATCCATTAGGATTGGTCATGTTTTTGGCTTTTCACCCGTTATAAACCACTGGTGCTTTACAATTGAACTTACCGTGTCAATTAACGTAAATCTGCTCACTTGAGTAGTTTAATTGGGATGGACGCCAAAACTTTTGCTTGTTATCCGTCGCGTACACAACTCAAAGTATTTCCACACCGATAATTTAGAGGAGAAAACAAATGAGTTCAAAAGAGTACTTTGCAGCTGTCACACAACAAGAGAAAATATTTTTGGAAGCAGTTCGGTCGAATATACTGTGTATAATTTTGGTTTGTATTGTTGTAATCCTGCAAAATATGCTAGCGGTTGTGGTCGTGATCATCTGATATGTCATTTAAGATGTGAGAATACACGACCCACGCAAACTAGGCTGTCACCCTTTAGGATTTCGGTAATGGGTTGAACCCGGTTCAGCAGCTGCTATTGGAACTGCTACCTAGTCCAACTTTAGTCCGGCCACTGTCCACCCTCAGTGCGCTTATTATACGCACTGATGCGTGGGAGTCGTTACGGTCATATGCCGTTATCAAGCTACCATTTGCTGCTCCGGAAGCCGAGGTTTGTTTGTCTTTCCCCTTGACGAGTAAACGGAATTGGAGAAACACATCGGTAGCGAAAGGATGTAAGTGCAGTTATTTTATTTTTAATTGCGTGTTTGTGCTTGCATCAGCGCGGTCACGACAAATCTCCTTAGACATGTATTTATATATTTACATATTTGATCGGCACAGTCGATTTGTGCTTAACATACTAATTTTACTTATGAGTGGAAAGATTTTGGTGAGTAGATTTGTTCGTCGTAATCAGCCGACAATTCAGATATGTCGACCAGCTATCCTAATTTTATCCATCAGTGACCCCAATACTAACCAGTGCGATCTTTTTTAGGACTCGCTCGAAATCGTATGAACTGAGCACATTCCCATTTCAGCGTGCTAAACTACGAACGTTCCATTGCACTTTGCATGTAAAAGATGGGGTAGCGCAATCTAGCTGCATTGAGTAGTAGAGAAGCCTGAATGATATCTTTCATCCGTAGATATGTTTAATGGTTAAATTTTAATAACATTAATATCCTCAATTACGTCAGGTAAGAATCAGCCAATAAGTAATTAGTACGACTTCTGTAAGCAGATTGGCATATAAAACTGCGCAAACTTGTAAACTTCAGGCTAAAACACCTGCACATCTCTGTTTTGTGCGAAGTACGTCACTCACCGTGGATTCAGGAATAAACCATAATTTGCGCGAATGTTGAAAGCGAACTTTTCCTACAATAGCATACAAATAGGACCGATGCAATAAAGGAGTAAGGGCAGAAACTGCGGATTTTCTGTGTCTATGGTGCTACGTTACTGCAATGGAAATCGGCGGGAAGCGACTTCCTGTTCCAGCTTATTTCTTGCTCTTAATAATAAAGAAGGGGTACTGGCTTCACTCTGAAATTATAGCATCATTAAGGAAGTCAAACCCATCGAGTCGAATCAGTTGGTAGCCCAACCAGTACAGCATCTCTTATCATGCACTGTGCGTAAGTAAACAAGTCAATCTGGTAAATCGAAAAGATTTGTCTTCATCCTCATTCACCATTTCAATCCATCTTGGAGAAAGCCAAATTCCGTGCAACGGCTGGTGATAAGTATTTCGATTACCACAGACTGTCTTGGAGTTGTGTAGCGCAAACATACCAGCAATTGTTATCCTTCAGTTTTTGAGCTAGCTGCGTGCTGGTCAAGCCGGGTACGGACTCAGGTCTCAAACCTGATCCTAGACAGATTACAATGGACTCATGCGTCATTCAGGTAAAAATGTTCTGTGTCTATTAGACGCACAAATAGAGATATCAAATCAGAGGTTGTTTAGAATAAACCATCTCACTGCCAACATGTAGCAACTAGGTGATGGCTTGTTACTGAGTCCGCAAAACCTAGTAACCAATCAGGGCAAAGCATGGGGGTGTGCATGACGCAAAGATATAAATTTTTCTTACTGTTAATAGAAACTTACACAATCGATTATTAATTTATCCCTTACAATGGAATAAAGCAATGATGTGAAACCTAACGAACGGCCGCCTGCAACAGCCACCTATAAACCTGGTCTGGATATGAAACTTGTCAGCTGGGCACGCAGCATTCCTTTTGCTTCAAACCTATATATGTCTACAAGTGGTTACACGCACCTCCAGAACAGCATTTCTACTCAGAGTAAAAGTACCGGCAACCCTGTACTCAGTTTGTTATCTGCGCATATATACTAACACAGATGCAGTTTCCTTTCCTTTCAAGTTGTAAGCAAAGTGAACACCTGAACTTTTGATCATAATACGATCCTTTGTTTTCATGGCTTCATCATCAGGCTAATACAACCACAATAAAGCAAGTTAGAATAGACACGATGGTTTAAATTGAGTCACTGAAACAAAGTAACTAATCGATAAGTCTACGTGTTTGGTCTGATTGGTCAAGTGAATTGGCGTGACTGCCATTGTTAGTCGAGTTGATCTCAGGCCAAGGCAAGGCTAAAGTGTGGACGAGCTTTTCCTGTGCACATAGGTCCGGGTTATGGAGCCGAATTGCGATCGCCTCTGCTGTCGACAGCAGGCGACATCTGACTGCCCGTGTGAAACGTCCAGGGACACAGTAAATCGGTGTGAATGCGTCACGCGAATCGATTTGATGGTCGGAGTCAACTAGGTGCGACAACACTGCACTCGTTATATTCTTCCTCACGCCGCTGTAGAGCCAAGCTGGGCAATGCTCTCGAGCCCTAACGGACAGTCGCCTGGTCGTTTTCCCGATATACCTTGCTCGACACGAGCAAGAGAAATTGTACACACAAAAGGAGGTCTGCGACCGAGGTATCCTGCCTTTAAGTTGTTGGCACACGAGCGGTGTTGAAGTGAAGCTTACGCGGAGATTAGCGGCAAAATACGTTCTTTCTGTTGCTAAGGAAAGTCTTCGGGTGGTCCGTTCCGCTATCGCGTCACCCTTAAATGGCAACGATAAGTATACCATCCGCTTCTCCACTGAAACGGGTTTGGGCCTTTGTACTCGTGGTTCCATGTGCCTCTGGATGAATTTCTCAGGGTACCCATTGCGTGTCGAGCAAGGTATATCGGGAAAACGACCAGGCGACTGTCCGTTAGGGCTCGAGAGCATTGCCCAGCTTGGCTCTACAGCGGCGTGAGGAAGAATATAACGAGTGCAGTGTTGTCGCACCTAGTTGACTCCGACCATCAAATCGATTCGCGTGACGCATTCACACCGATTTACTGTGTCCCTGGACGTTTCACACGGGCAGTCAGATGTCGCCTGCTGTCGACAGCAGAGGCGATCGCAATTCGGCTCCATAACCCGGACCTATGTGCACAGGAAAAGCTCGTCCACACTTTAGCCTTGCCTTGGCCTGAGATCAACGCGACTAACAATGGCAGTCACGCCAATTCACTTGACCAATCAGACCAAACACGTAGACTTATCGATTAGTTACTTTGTTTCAGTGACTCAATTTAAACCATCGTGTCTATTCTAACTTGCTTTATTGTGGTTGTATTAGCCTGATGATGAAGCCATGAAAACAAGCTTATTCGCTACTTTCTGTTTCTGATGTCATGCCCGGGAATTATTTCTCAATTGAAACGATCCTTTGTATTTAAAACCAAATTAAATTTGCCTGTGATGTTTCCCTACCAACACATTCCACATGTCTTGTGCCAGAGAATCACCCGTACTGCTGGCAGCACCGGTCCATGGTTCGGAGCTAGAGTGCAGTGGATCCGAAGACACAGGCAATCCAAAGGAGGATGCTTTCAAAGCCCCAATGGTCACAGATGTGCGAACGGGCAGAGTGATCGAACTACTGGTCTCGGGACATTGCGTATGGCAACTTGCCCCGTTCAACTTTGAGAAATATCCAGGAATGCGTATGAATGTATCACCTGAGAAGATGGCGTGAACAGTAACTTAACAGCAAAGACGTAGACCATGTGGTCAAAGGAAAGGTGTTTAGCGCATTCATACAACAAGTTAAATGTTAAAAGAATGTTTCGAAGTAGTTAACATCTAATGGGTATATAATTATATGCATCTTGGCTTACCTAAATGCTATGTATACTGACGAATTCACTGCAAAAGTATAACATATTATAGAGGCACGAAGAAATCTACCGAGAGACTTGTTTAGACTGCTGCTTGTAGTTTTCGTGATAGGCAGCCTCGGGATGATCCACTAAGGTGGTTGTAGATAGTATCAGACATGACGCATGCGCGCAGTCCGTGGCGTTCCTGCGTTTGGTTAATTGCATCCAGCCTTTACTCTTCATTCTGCCCCGTTTAGTTTTTCGCACTGCGGTCTTAGTTAGATTTGATTTTATTCTGTTTTATCCCGACCGCATTATTTTATGGCCGAGTAACGGGAACTCCCCTCCGAATTTCCGCAATGAACCAGCAAAAAACTAACTTGCATGGGTTAATTCAGAAGGCCATTTGGAATGTGCAGATTCTTCAGTCTATAGTTTGAACCTGCTTAAGTCCTAGGTAAGTTTGTACATCAGACAGCGGGACTTACGCATCGGCACAATTAGTCTTTGATAAACTGTTCCTCTGGTAAGCGGGCTCCAAGCATCACAAATAACCCTGATAATCCACTATTCACTGCATCAAGCTGTAGCTTCTACCAATTCTCCGTGTACTGATTGGAAGAATGAAACAATCCTTCAAATCGCTTCCCCTCACCTGTTGATTACAGCATTACTTGCTACATCTAAAGCACATCATGCGATTCAGGTGAGCTATTTTATTCACAAGCGATTACTCTATTCATACGAATAAATCAATTGCAGGTTATTCTTGGTATTATCATCCACTGCATTGAACGTCCCTGTATATGCTGTTTTTAAGCAACTACATTTAATAACTATCTGCTTTAACTGGCTTTATCCCGATTGCATTGGGATATTTGATCGCAACAGATACGATGCGAGCTTTCAGACATTGAGAGAACACGTGAAAGAAACGACGTCACTATTTTTAGTTGTTCTCACGCCTTTGACAGTCAATGCATCCCAATAGCCAAGACAAGTTTGGAGTTATCATCTGTATTGGCTTAGTAGATTCACAACCAGATTACTGCGTTTGCCATGTTTATCACGCCGGACGTAGGCTATTCACAGATGGACCACTTTTCCTCGTTTGTTTCCGCGACATGCTGGTCCAGTTTGTGAGTACCTAATCAGTCACCCACTATGAAACACGTAATCGAAGCTACCATTCAGTTAATTATTGCCGTGACACATATTTACTTTATGCTGCCACGTTTACTGTTTTTCATTGCAAATGCTATTTCAGGCAGAATACCCCGATTATTTTGCATACGATGCATGTGAAGAAGTGTTGTTATTCCCTTCGGAGGACGCACACGACGGCGAAAAGTAAGTCGGCATGGCCTCGCAATCGATGTACATGCTTATCAGCTAACATTACGCTATAGCTTAATGTATGGATCATCTTGCTTGAGAAAAAGGGATACTAGAGTCAAAAGATGAACGCTGTTCACCTAACGCAGTATGCCGAGTGTATGTGACGAACCACCATCGGGTTAGATATAAATGCATCTCACTCGGCAGCAAAACAGTCTTTCAGGAGCCAAGACTTTATTCGACAAAGCGAGACCAGCAAAAAGACAGCATACAGAGTTTGTAGGGACGCCGATGGAAATGACTGGGTAATTTCCATAACTAACGATGCTGCTGCATTCATGAGATTCGTGCTTTGAATCAGTTAACCAAACCAGCTCCAGCGCAACAAAATAAGAACTAATCAGCGCTCAGTCACAATATGCCTAGGCGTCCTATCAACTGCTCTGTTTGCATGCGACAAACCAGTCGCCTGCTTTACCGTGCAAATCTGTATCGTTCTTCTGCTTACACAATCCCATCATAACTCCTTCTTAAGGATATGAATAAAGATGTGCGGCTTTATGTCCTGTTTGACCTCAAACACTTTACTTTGAACTGAAACAAAAACTAACGCTTACGTCGGAGCACCCCTCAGAACGAGCAACAATTATAATTAACACAGCATTAGAAAACAATGGGAGCCTCCTGATAAAAAACGGCAGGCACCTATCGGTTGATCAATGGTAGCGCCTATATTTCCATTCGAAGCTTTGTCCACAAGTGAGGGTTTGTTTCAGATTGGGTCAAGGCATGATAGTTAGAAGTAAAACCATGGCATATCGATGGTTGTTGCTGTCTAAGTTAACTCGAGAACACCACTTATCATAATCTCATCAAGAATTCAGATAACCGCTTCTCAACCTTACTGTTTCACGTTAAAACTACTTGAAATCACTTAGTAACTTGTGGCACAGCGTTCTCAAACGTAATAAGTTCACAAAGTGTAAGGTAAACTGTCAAGATACGCTGTCAATATTTGGGTTGGGTTGGCCCTTAGGAGTATGACCTCACTCATTAGGTAGCCGGCTAGCTTAAAGTAGTAATAGCTTTCATGAGTTTGAAAATGAATCCGCTTAACGTGCCCTGACTCACATACTGCTTTATTAAGGATACACAGGTCGTTTTTACTTCTATATTGCAATTCGCCATTAGTTTCGTCCTTGTATCATTGTGTTACGTCAAGGTAATCTTAATCCGATTTGAACTTGTTAACGTGCAGTTATCGCCGTTGCAGTTCGATCACCGACAGTCTTAGTGGGTTACATTTGTCAAGGCTTTCTAGGCACGACCGTCTAGAATCCACCGTCATGATTTGGTCAAATTATTGCAAGAGCAGTGCTTCCGTATAGAAGAATTCCTCACTGTTTATATATTGTAAAAATGCTAGACGGATCAAACAAAATATATGTTGTGTTTCTTGACAATTCCTTTCCGATAATATTAATATTTATTGCAGAGCTCCAGTTTTTCAATTTTTCACAAAGATGGGAGTAAAAGGTGTCACTTCGTGTAGGTTCTTTACTCGCAGACACCATTCGATGCTTTGATGTTAGATTAAATTCAGTTAGACAAAGTTAAATGTATTAAAATTGCCCATCATGGCCATTTTTCAAATTCCGCCTTAACGTATTGCTCATGCCAAGATAAGGTGTTAGACCAATATCAAAGGAGACGTAGCCCTCTAGCGTCTCGTTCCACTACAAATAATCCAACCAAGAGAACCTGTTAATCCGACAATCTGTGTTCGCGGCTTATCGGGATAGCCTATATCAAAACGTTACCCTTTGTAGATGATGGGCTTTCTAGTTCTACAACCGAGAATATATTGCATTATGTATGGAACAAATAAGAAACGACAAGTGGGCATGCAGCGAAGTTGATATATGAAACGTTTCTTTGCTAGTTGGGCCTGCTTTTCCATGCACACAGACTGGTGACATTTTAAGCCATCACGTTATCCATAATATCTGGATAAACATCTTTTTACAACGGTTCGCTTTAAGGATAAAACTAATGTTATGCCTATATGACTTAGTTTAGACTTGAGGCAGCGTTATTCATTTGCGACAGTTCGTGTGGAGAAAAATCCAGTCAAATTGGAAATTTAAGACATTCGATCAACAGTATGTTTCAATTAATGATATTACGGACAGACGGTACATCAAGCAATCATATAAGCAAATTTTCTTTGTTATATATTAGGTTTGTAGGTGTATTGCTTTATATTCCGTCAATGTTATCTTGCTGTACTCTGCGGAATTAGTAAAAAAGTAATTCACCAGAGCATTTGGCGTCGTTATGTGTTTACCGGTTGACACTTTTGCTCCAATATTAGTAAAGTGGGCCGTTTGAGTGTCGAAGAGAAATCGACAGCATATCTTTAGATTTGGTGAGTGTAGTTTTATGATAAATCAGATAAACCTCAGAAGGAAAAGTATAAATATGCGCAGTTTAATGTTTGACTGTTATCCGTCCCAAACGCGCAATACGGATGCAACTATTCTACAATTGCATCAACTCGAATCTCGTTGCACGAAAAGGTGTAGTATTCTGACAGCTTGAAATTGGAAGGTGCATCTTCTCATTCATCTGATGCAGTAAAACGCAATGATTGGAAAAAATACCTCAGCTGAGCGTTATTTTGTCACGGCAGCTTACATACAGGATAAATAGGAAAGAACAATATTGTTTGAAATGTCATTTTAAAGTATTCACTGTGTGCATAAATTGCGACACGCAATCGCATGGGAAACTGCGATTCGCATTTAACTGAGCTTTGATCAGTTATGTTTGATGGAAAGATCAACTGACATACCCAAGTGATGGAGCTAATCTTTAGACTCCTCGAGGTAGCGCCGTAGTTCCATTGCAATTTGGGCAACAAAGAATGCTGACGAGGATCAACTACAAAATAACCCTTTTGTTTCTCAACAGTAAGAGAGACTGTTTCCGGATAAGGACAGATCAACAGGTACACAGTTGGGTTTCACAGTTATTGTCATCCAACATAAGATTGGAGTGAAATCACTATACCACTTGTAATTGGGATGTACACAATCAATTATGTTTGTTAAACCACTGGTAGACGTTAGCGTACGCCTGCAATTATCAGATATTCACTGAGATAAAGGATGGAAGCGATTGAGTATGCTTGAGAGAAATTCAGGAAGTGGGGTTCTTCATGTACATTTGGTGGCTTCGTTAATTACCAGTTATGTCTTTCCGGCTTAGAGGTATTTTATTTTGTCTCGTCTAGGAATATAGCCGTAATCCAACCGAAATGGGTGGCGGGTGTCATGTTTAGGATTTTGTGTGATTTGTAAGAATTAGCATATCTAACATCATTTTAGCCTGGTCAGTTGAAATCTTATTGCGGTTTGATGGCATTCACTTAAGAGAAGAAAGATTATGTGCACAAATTCTTATAGTTTCTCTGGTTGTGGATTAAGTATTCGTCATGATCATACTTTACATAGTAATACTGATGCTTGTTGAGGTA